GATAGGACTATATTGGGTGTAGAAAATATAAGAAAGAGCATGTAAATATGAAAAAACTAATTATATTTTTTTTTTTTTTCAACTGAGGTAACTGACTAATTCAAAGCTAAATCCTTTTATTGAGACTGTTGTCTCAAAGTAATGTATGTCTCTTGAAAATCCTTGGCAGCGCAAGGATTAATTATGTGGCAGCTGGTCAGCACTTGCTAACCAGCCACCACATAAAAAATTACTATAAGGGAGGTTTTGAAGATGGGCATGACTACTAAATATTTAAAACTAGTGAAAGGATGGCCATTGCTGTCCAGCCACTAGAAACTCCCCATCCCACATAACTGTTGTCTTCCCAATGCCCCAATGGGGGCCAGTTAACTAAAAAGGTAGGAGAGGATCCTTATGTCCCCCACCCTCATGCATGGTGAGCCGGTCAGAGCTATACTAATAATCAAGTAGGAGAAGCAACTGACCTCCCAGGCCCCCACCAAGCACTCTGGCTTACTAGCCAACCAATCAGGGAGCTCTTGGTCATATTGCAGAGAGTTGGAAATGTTACAACAGTTAGCGTGTCATATTCCTCCTTTTCTCCCCCCTCCCCTCCATGTGCCTCATTCTTCCCTCTCTCCCCCTCCCCTCCATGTGTCCCATACCCTTCCTGTCTCCTCCTCCCCTCCATGCAGGGCCGCCATCAGGGGGTGACAGCCATGACATGGATCAGCGGAACTGCCGCCCGTGCATCTGCACCGGGGCCCACACGCTGTTGGGGCCCATCAGGTGGCTCAAGCATTTAGGGCCACCCAATGGGCCCTATTAGCTTCAGGGGCCCGGTCAGCACTGTAATAGCGCGACCGGGCCCCTTTAAGAAAAAAAATACAGCCTGAAAGCAAGTGCTGCTGGGAGAAAGTGATGGCCAGGCACTTCCTCCCAGCTTACTCTGCGCGGGAAGTAGAAGAGACCACATGAAAGCCGCGAGGAGAGGCAGCCAACTCACATCATCCCCAGCCTCCCTCCTGCGATGAAATGGTAAGAAAGAGGAGGGTGGCTGAAAATGAGGTGTGTGTGTGTGTATATGTATATATATATATATATATATGTATGTATATGAGATGCACTCTTAGGGCTTAAGCAATGAAAAAAGGTGATTTATTCCAGCAGGTATAACATCCAAAATTTGCCTACTTTTCGACCCATTCGGGTCTTTCTCAAGGTCAATGTACCTGTATTTAAAAGGTGTTTATGTTTATATATATATATATATTAAAGAGATGTACTCACCAATCGTAAAGAAACCCCTGAATCCCTCCGTGCGCACACGGAAGTGAAACCCGCGGTCACGTGATACGTGCATACGTAATGACAGTGTTGCTAGGATACCGATAAGGAAAGCATAAGATTGGTATGGTAACAAATATATATATCGGGTGTGCAAGTGAAATGCCTAAAATCAATATATGAAATATGTATATAGAATCTCATTAAAGTGCATAAAATCACAAAAATATGACACAGTGTGAAGAAATTGCTTAAAAGTGAACAAAGATTGTGAGATCATATATACTATGAAGAGTGTCACAATATACCTATTAAAAAAGTGACCCAAAATAAAATATATTAAAAGCATTTCACTTACCATGTCAAGATAATAGGCATTAGTTGAAAAATCTAATAGTAATAAGAAACTGATAGATTAGGAAAGTTAAAGCTATTAGAGTAAAGGCTCCAAATACAGACAAGGATCAAAGGCATGTATAAAAAGAGGATTACATCAAGAGGCAGGTACAGTGGGCCATATATATGTCACAGACATTATGCATATATATATACACAAGAAATAAAAAATAAAAAAATAATAATAAAAAAAAAAAATATATATATATATATATATATATATATATATATATATATATATATATATATATATATATATATATATATATATATATATATATAAAATAAAAATAAAGATAAAGAAAAGCCAAAAAATAATATTATTAAAGAAACATGGAGAGCACAATATTTTCGTTAAGTCCTCTTGGTGTCACTGTGTCCAACCGATGGATCCATTGTGCCTCACGCTGAAGTATTTCTTCGATCTGTCACCCCCTCTGGGCATCAGGGGGACATGATCAATAGCCGTAAAACGCAGCATAGGGAATCTGTGTTGCATATGTAAGAAGTGTTTGGCCAGTGGCTTATCATTACGTTGATCCCTACACGCTGTTGCTATGGTCGACCAATGTCCCCTTATGCGCTCTCTCAATGTCAAATCGGTTTTGCCCACATATGAAAGTCCGCAGGGGCATGTGATCATGTATATTACATGGTCAGTGGTGCAAGTAATATAATGTGATATTTTGATTCTCTGACCACTATGAGGGTGAACAAAGGTCGTGCCACTGACCATGTGACTACATGTCACACATCCACTGCATTTGTAACAGCCTTTCTTGGAGATAATCTCAGGTTTGCGATAACAAATTCCTGGATCACTTTTCACCAAAAGGTCCTTTAAATTTTTGTTCCTTCTATAACTAATGACTGGAGAACCCATGAATATATTAGGTAATGATTTATCTGATCGTAGTATGTCCCAATGTTTTTGGATGGATTGTCTTATTTTCGATGTTCCTGTGTGAAAAGTCATGGGTAGATAAATTCTTGGTTCTTTTGGTGCCTTCTCGATTTTATCATTCAATTTTTCTCGATTCCATATTTCCAAAGCTTTGGTCTGTGCTGTTTGAAGAGTCTGTGGATGATAGTCTAATATATGAAATCTATCCTACATCTCCTCAAGCTGAATTTTCAGTTTTTCTGTTTCTGTATTATATCTTAATGTTCTTAAAAATTGAGAGACTGGCAATGATTTCTTAACTTGTTGTGGATGAAAACTAGAGGCAGAAAGGAGAGAATTACGGTCAGTATTTTTGTGGTACAAAGTAAATTCCAGATTGTTTCCCTTTTTATAGATGGTAACATCCAAAAATGTAATTGGTTTTTTTCATCAATTTGATGACTCAAAATAACTGGTGTAGGTGATTGGTTTATCTCATTAATCATTTGTTCCAAATTTATCCTAGTGCCTGTCCAAATCATAAAAAGATCATCCACAAACCGATAATAGTGTTGGATATGTTGTCCAAATTTTGCCAAAATATGAGTGCGTTCAAAGGTATACATGAAGGCATTGGCATAAGATGGTGCCATCGCTGCCCCCATCGCAGTTCCGGACAATTGCACATAAAATTGATTTTCAAATTTAAAGTAATTGCATGTAAGTGCAATCATTAAACATTCTAACAAGATATCTCTCAAAGCCTGTACACCCTCCCCACATGATATAATGGTGTACAGGCTCTGATCATCCATCGTGACAAGTAAGGATGTAGAATCCACATATGGTGATTGTTGAATTCTGGACATAAAGTCCCATGTGTTGAGTAAACATGTAGGAAGAGCCATAAAGCTGTCTTTAATGAAAATATCAATATACTTGGCAACAGGTTCAATTATGCCATCCCTAGCCGAAACTATGGGTCTCCCTGGTGGTTGTAGTGGATCTTTATGAATCTTCGGTAATGTGTAGAGTACCGGATGCCTAGGGTGCTCTACTGTGAGATATTGAGCTGTATGAGTATCCAAGTATTCCAATTGTAACCCAAATTCAACATGATTTTTAATTCTTTTCTGGAATTTTGCCGTCGGATCAGACGTAAGTTTTACATACACCGAAGTGTCACTGAGTTTTCTTAGTATTTCTTTCCGATATTGATCGTATGATTGTATCACCGTAGCTCCACCTTTATCAGCCCCACGGATTACTATATTAGGATCTTGACTGAGGTCCTTCAAAGCCGCTTTTTCTCCGGGGTTTAAATTCTGATGAAACAGAGGTGGATTTTTTACAATTTTTTTCTGTGTCTGTTTTGACAGTCTGAATGAATGCTTTAATGGAGGAATTAGCGGTCCGAATATCCTTTTTTATTTTTTGTTGGAAAAACATGAGTAGGTTTTTTTTTAGTTAAATGTCTTAATTTCGTTACTGTACAGTGTTCTTTGAATCTTATATAATTCAACTTCCATCTTGAACAAATCAGGCTTTGCAACTGGAACAAAAGAGAGACCTTTATTTAGAAGTGAATAGTGATCAGAACTAAGTACTTTATTAGTAATGTGTATATATATGCATAATAATGTCTGTGACATATATATGGCCCACTGTACCTGCCTCTTGATGCAATCCTCTTTTTATACATGCCTTTGATCCTTGTCTGTATTTGGAGCCTTTACTCTAATAGCTTTAACTTTCCTAATCTATCAGTTTCTTATTACTATTAGATTTTTCAACTAATGCCTATTATCTTGACATGGTAAGTGAAATGCTTTTAATATATTTTATTTTGGGTCACTTTTTTAATAGGTATATTGTGACACTCTTCATAGTATATATGATCTCACAATCATTGTTCACTTTTAATCAATATCTTCACACTGTGTCATATTTTTGTGATTTTATGCACTTTGCACTTTAATGAGATTCTATATACATATTTCATATATTGATTTTAGGCATTTCACTTGCACACCCGATATATATATATTTGTTACCATACCAATCTTATAATTATTCTTTCCTTATCGGTATCCTAGCAACACTATGTCATTACGTATGCACGTATCACGTGACCGCGGGGTTGGCTATCTTGGATCCTTTGTTCTCCAGCGTGGTACTAAAAACGGCTACTTGACGGCGCGAACACCGCTGAACTTCCAGGCCGTTCGGGAGTTCCGGGCCATTCGGTATTTTATTCCCTATACATCAATCGGTCTTTTGAATGTGTGTTTTAATGAATGTTTTTCATGCGGCGTTCGGTTGTTTTAGCTGGGATCTGAGCGGTAATCTCACGAATGATGCGCTCAGACCCCAGCTATCTACCGAACATCCATTCGTGCAAATAGACCTAACAGTCGAAAAACTGTGTATTTTAAAGTAAATTGCCGGTTCTGCTGCATGGAGGGATAATCCACTTAACAGTATATTCCAGTGGGAGGATCCCTCTCGTGCAGCAGTGCCTGATGGGGGAAAGGCTCTGTAATGTAAGTTCCCCACGTAGTCCACTCCTGGGATAGGACTCATTAAACCCCTTGCATGGGGAATTGTATAAATTGTGGAGCCTGTGAATAAAGCCTTCAGTTGACTCTCAGAACTGTGTTTCGTCCGGTTACTGGGAGATTTGGGATATTGCCTTGCTTTTCAGCGCTTGACTGTGGATTACCTTCTGAACCAGCGGAGATCGTGGGATTTATTATTGCCGCTCCGCTACAGTATGTATGCCAGTGTGTGTGTATGTATGCCAGTATGTCTGTATGTATGCCAGTGTGTATATATGCCTGTATGTGTGCAAGCATGCCAGTGTATATGTATGTATGCCAGCGTGTGTCTGTCTGTATGCCAGTATGTATGTATGTATGCATGCCAGTGTGTGTCTGTCTGTATGTATGCTAATATGTATGTATGCCAGTATACAGTTGCAAGAAAAAGTATGTGAACCCTTTGGAATGATATGTATTTCTGCACAAATTGGTTTTTTGAGCAGTGTGTATGTGTGTGTGTGTATATATGTGTGTGTGTGTGTGTGTGTGTATATATATGTGTGTGTGTAAATTTGTTCTGATGGTATTTTAAAATTAATACATATATTGATATCAAAATACATGTAGAATGAAATAATATATATATCTACAGTTGCAAGAAAAAGTATGTGAACCATTTGGAATGATGGATTTCTGCACAAATTGGTCATAAAATGTGATCTGATCATCACAACAATAGACAATCACAGTCTGCTTAAACTAATAACACACAAAGAATGAAATGTTGCCATGTTTTTATTGAACATACCATGTAAGCATTCACAGTGCAGGTGGAAAAAGTATACTGTATGCACAGAAATGGTTCCACTCACAAATTTCAGAGCCGTGCCAGGCTCTGTATAGTAAGCCCAAGGGTGCCTATACAGGCTAAAAGCGAGTATCCATGGACCACTGGATCGATCACGGAAGAGCAGATGAAGCAGTAGGTAAAGGTATCAAAAAGTGTTTTATTAGATGAAATATAACAATTAAAATAATATAAAAAAAGTTCTAAATAGAAAGGTGCAGAAACAGACGCGTTTCGACTGTAAGTCTTTTTTATTAACATTGAGAGCAACAAAGGAATTGGGAGTACCAGAGGCCCACGTAGCCCTTGGGGTCATACAGGACCGAGGCAGACTACAGGAGTCACCTGGTCCAGTAATTGTTTGTTGTGGGTGGGTTACTCGACTAACTCAGGCACTGACCGACAGGAGGTCAGGTACCTGGTTAGTCTCCCCTTGGGGGGGAAGATATGTGGCGAAAGTAACCTCGCCACTTGTACCTGGAGGGGCCTGCTTACCAGCCTCCTGCCCACAGACTATGGTCCCTGCAGGGAAACCTGTAAAAGACTACCGAACTTGACCGACTGTTTTCACTGATTTCCCTGGAACTCTTTTGGGTATAGGACCATGTGCATGGTCGGTTTATGGGGTTTTATGTATTTTTAAGGTAGTTTTGGGGGTTTCATAAAATTGTATGTTTTTCTGTGCTTGGAGATAATTGGTTTAGATTAGTACAGTTCCTGATTCAATTATCTCCCAAGCACAGAGGAGGGATTCTATTGTTTGTGTATGGGAGTGTCTCACTGTACGACTGTTTTTATTGGTTTATTCAGTTTGTGTCCCTGTGCCCAACAAGGTCCACCTGGGTGTCACCCTTATTGGGAAACTTGCATAAAAGGCCAGTGTGCCTCCATTAAAATTCTGCTACTGCTTACCTTCACCATAGTCTCATGTCATGTGTGGGGGAAACGGCTGTATCTATCCTGGGGATTGCTATATCACTATACGCCCCAGGAATTATAATCACTAGCTCTTATAAGAGCTGTTCCTTCCACACTCTCTGGGAGTAGGAGAGGTCTTCCTACTGGAAGCTGGAACCCGGTCTTGGGCCAAAACAATCCTAGTCACTAAGGGGCTAAAGAAAGAAGTATAGAATAGGGCAGAGCAAAAAGGAAGGAAAGTAGGAAAGTTGGGTGATCTGGAGATGTACTGAGAGAGTAGAGGGCCTTGCATCCTCAGTTTTTATTTTATTTATACTCAAACACAGTTGGAGTGCAAGAGTTATCTGATAATATAGAGATATCTATCTATCTATCTATTATCAGATAACTCTTGCACTCCAACTTGTATAAAAAAAATATACCTGGTGCTCTGGTTGCATAAATATAGAAAGTGAAAAAAATACCGTCACTCCAAGGCTTTGAATCTTAATAAATCTTCGTTATTCTCTAACCCAGTCAACGTTTCAGCTCCTCTGTGGAGCTTTCATCAGGACCCATAAAACACAATACTCACAGTGAATGGCTTTATAGGGAAGAGATTATTGGTACTCACTTTTTCGGCTGCAGTTCATTCAGCTAATTGTCTGGCGTGTTCAGGCCGCGTCTGCGCATGCGCAAGAACTTCCGGGATGTTGTGTGTTCCCATAGTAACCGGAACCATGCCGGACAAACTGAAGGAAACCTGTATGGTACATAGAAGAGGCAGCTTTAGAGGAAGTGAACATTAATCGCATCACATTACTGTGTGACTCCTCTATATTAGAACCAACTTGTAACAAAATTCCAAACATAAACACTCACTTGTCAAATATATTGAATCTTATTATAGTATCTGATATTCTATACACATAACAGAAGTAACTCATGGATTAAAGTCTAAGGAAAGGAAGTGATACAAAAAAAGAAGTGAAGATGAAATTCTAAGTGTATCAATGTAAAGCATGTAGTCTGCTTTCAGCCAGACACCATGCCATATCTCCTAAAAGTAATATATGCCTAGAAAAGTGAATGTCCTTAGACATATGTGTATCCTGTTTTTAATATAATAAAGTGCGTCAGGTGCATAAGACTTAAAGTATCCTAAATACGTGTATATTTTGCTAATTTTCATAGCATAAAGTTCATATTTTATATGAATAATAAGGTGTATTTCACTAGTTTCAGTAGCATAAAGTGCATAATTATGTAAATAGTGGTGCTATATCCCATGTATGTGTAAACCTAATGAGTTTTCTGTATTAATAAAGTGCATAATAAGTATCTTGTGAGTGAAAAATTATTTTGGTAAAGCTTGGTCTATATCTTTAAGTAGATGTATTCTATAGTAATACAAATCCAATAACAAGTCATACAAATAGTTACATCTTTCTCATAAGGACCTCCTCTATTGCCGTCTAAGAGTATCAAAGTCCCTGTTATTAACATGAAGAAAAATGTAAAATAGTTTTTCAAAAAAATTAATAGATCAACATGGAATGAGGTCTTATATCAGAAATCGTATGAAACCTCCTACAGGGATATAGGAAATGAACTTTAGATTATTCACAACTATTACTTATAGGAACATTGAAAAGGAGCATTCAACTGGACAATCCAAAATGTCTCTCTTTGTAGCAGAATTCTGCCCCTATCACCTCCCCGGGCCGGAATCTGAACATGATCGATCGCCACACATCTCAGAGACGACAGTTGATGCTGGAATTCCAAGAAATGTCAGGCCACTGGTTTGGCACGATAGGCAAGCCGGATACTAGACATGTGGCCTATAATCCTCTCACAGAGTGCTGTCTCTGTTTTACCTATATAGTTAAGTCCACATGGGCATGTCAACTTATAGATAACGAATTCTGTTCAACAATGAATTTTATGTCGGATTTTGTAGATTTTTGCCTGTGTGTGGATGGTTGAAGGTTTTTGAAGGGATAATTTTACACAACCCAAACACCTCACACATCCTACATTTTTGCTATTTTGTTTGGAAGGACTGTAACAATGTGTTGGATCAGTCTTAAACAATAGGTCTCTTATTTTCCTATTGCGCTAGCAAAAGATAGGTTTCTGCTGGAATTCTTTTGGGAGAATAACATCCAATTCCAGGATATTCCAATTCTTGCGGACAGATTCTCATAGGAAAGACCGGTCTGAGATAAGTGGCTCCAATATTTTGAATGGTCGATGACGAAACTGCCGCTTTTGCTTTTATAATTGCTTTATCGAGAATTCTGTGTCGATAACCTTTCGAGGGAAACTTTTGGTACATAATTTCTAGCTGTTCCTCACATTGTTGGCTTTGCGAATTGTTGCAAAACACTCTTAGAAATTGTGAAAAAGGAAGTGATTCTTTAAGATGTCTCGGGTGGAAGCTTTCAAAATGCAAAATGGTATTCCAATCCGTTGGTTTCGCAACCCGCTTATATTCCAGTTTAGGATTGATCGCCATAATTTCAACATCCAAAAATTGAATGCTTTTCTCATCAATATTCTATGTAATTTTGACCTGGGTGGGTAGATCATTGAGACTTTGATCAAAAGCTAACTCTTCTTCTTTTGAGTCTTTCCAAAGAATTAGAATATCATCTCTAAATCTGAAATTTTTGATGATCTGATGGTCATGTGGTTGTAAAATATATTTTGTTTCAAATTCATACATAAGTGTTTGCGTACATGGGGGCCATCACTGCCACCATAGATGTTCCAGATGCCTGCAAGTACCATTTCATCTCAAACCTAAAGTAGTTGTTTTGAAGAGCTATGTCAAGGAGTTCTAGAACAAACTCTATTGGAGGACCATGAAATTGTTCCGATTCTGTGAGAAGATTGTGCATCGCCTGTATTCCTTCATCATGTGGAATGATAGTATATAAACTACTGACATCCATCATTATGAATATGCCATCAAATTCCCAGACTAAATAGCAGTATTTAATTGTAGTAGTAATGTATTCGTATTTTTAATACATGTGGCAATCGATGTAACAGGCGCTTTAAAAAGAAAATCAAGGTATTTAGCAATTGGTTCAACTAACCCATCTACTGCAGAGACGATTGGACTTCCCAGTGGATTCTTTAGATTTTTATGGATTTTTGGTAATGTGTAAATTATGGGTGTACATGGGTGTTTCTCTTGTAGGAATTGAAACAGGTCCAGATCTATATGTCCTGCCTGTAATCCAAAAAGAAGTGTGTCTTTAATTTTTTTGGCTAGTCTATTAGTAGGATCACTTTCCAGGAGTTTATAAGTATTTGTATCATTCAGCTGCCGTTTGATCTCATTTGAATAATCCTGGTAGTTCAAGATGACAATCCCACCACCCTTATCTGTTGG